AAAGCTCCTCTTTAACTACATAAATAGTAAGACTAAAATTAGAGATCAAATTAGCGCCATCATAGACAATAGCATCATTTATACTAAGGAGGAAATGTGTGAAATCCTTAATGAGAAATTTCAGTCAGTGTTTGTTCAGGGCCCATACTTTGAAATGACAAGTAAGCGTACAAACGTAAACCAGAAAATCGAAAATACCATACTCGAAAAGAATGAAATAAAAAACCTACTGAAACGGTTAGCCAAGACTAAAGCAGAGGGACCAGATGAGATATCTAACTGGGTTCTGAGGGAATGTGCCGAAGAATTACGTTATTGTTAATATTCCAAAATTCAGTGAGACAAGGAAAACTACCAATGTTACACCTTTATAATAGAAAACAAAACCCTCTGAATTATAGACCAGTTTCGTTAACTAGTGTAGTATGCAAGCTGTTAGAAAGGATAATTAGGAAGCAAATAAACTATTTGGTTTTAGGGAAGGAAGGTCGTAGCAAACCTCTGAAATATTACAAGAGACGGCTGGGTGGATTGTGTATACTTAGACTTTAAGAAGGCATTTGATAAGGTGTCTCATAAAAGTCTAGTATGGAAATTAGAGCACCTAGGTGGAGTGAAAGGCAAACTCCTCGAATGTATAAAAGATTTCTTCATGAAAGGCACAGTGATGGGCACCGTGATCCGGGGAAGCACTCTACATGGCGACGAGTAGCTAGCGGAATACCTCAAGAATCGGCCCTGGGGTCAAACATAAGCCCAGGTAATTATTTGAATATGTTTGCAGATGACACAGAATTGCAAAAAAGGATAATAGACGATGTCTCATGCCTGTGCTTCCAAAGTGACATCGAGAACTTATTCATTTGGATTGTACTTGGAAAACAGAATTTAACACCAATAAATGGCATGCAGTCAGATTCGGAGAACATAAAAATAGCCCACTGTACCAATACAAGTTCATCATCATCATCATTGGGGGGCTAACTCCGATAGGGGCGCATAGCCGCGTCCACCCTTCGCTTCCACCTGCGAGGGTCTCTCATGGCGAGCCGCCAGGCAGGGGCCCGGCCCATCTCTAGTTTCTCACGACAGGTTTGATCGATCTGCCCAAGCCACGACCTTCTCGGTCGTCCCACAGGCCTCCTCCACCCAGGGTTGTCCCGAACAGAGACAACCTGATAGGCAGGATCATCCTGCGGGAATCGAGCCAAGTGGCCATATAGCCTGAGTTGGCGATCACGGATTGTGCAAGTAATAGGTTCTGTACCGGTCTCGCGGTGTAGCTGTTGGTTGGACACATGGTCCCGCCAACTGTACCCCATGATCCGGCGCAAGGATCTGTTACAAAAGGCATCGAGACAAGATTCCAAAGCATAAGATAGCGTCCAAGTTTCACTACCATATAGTAAAACTGGCAGTATCAGGGCCTTGAAAACTCGTAGCTTAGTCCTTCTGCACAGGTTACCGGCATCTCCAAATACTCTTGTCGAGAGATTTCATGACCCCTGCTGTCAGGCCAATCCGTCTACTGACTTCCTGGTCTGACAGCCCAGAGTCATGAACTGCACTACCGAGGTATATAAAACTCCTTGTGACTTCGATGTTTTCACCGCAAGCACGTACCGACTGCACAGGGTCTCCTAGTAGGCCCCCAAAATCCTGGATCTTGGTCTTGGTCCAGGAGACCTCTAGCCCCAGGGGCTTCGCTTCATTGCTAAATGCATCAAGAGCCGCCACTAGGGTTTCCAGAGAATCAGAAAGAATGGCAACATCGTCAGCAAAGTCAAGGTCAGTAACCTTGATATTGCCCAGAGTTGCTCCACAGTGACTTTGGACAGTAGCTCTACCCAGTATCCAATCCATGCAAGTGTTGAAAAGTGTTGGTGCAAGAACACAGCCTTGCCTCACGCCTGAACTAACAGGAAAGAAGCTCGACAGGCCCCCACCACACTTTACAGCACTTTCAGTGCCTGTATACAGGTTTGCTATTAGCCCAACAATCCTTGTTGGAATTCCTCTCAGTCTCAGGATCTCCCAGGGTAATTCACGATGCAGCGTATCAAACGCCTTCTTGAGGTCGATGTAGGCTGCGAGCAGCCCACGTCCGAACTCACGACGGCGCTCTACAATGACTCGAAGCGCCAGGATACGATCTATTGTGGACTTACCAGGAGTGAACCCAGATTGCTCCGGTCTTTGGTGCCTCAGGAGGTGGTCTCTGATACGTCTTAGTAAGATGTGGGCGAGTACCTTGCCTGGTACACTGAGCAGTGTAATGCCTCGGTGAATGCTGCAGTCCCACCGATCCCCTTTCCCCTTCCAGAGAGGGATAACCATACCCCTCAGCAGGTCGGGGGGAATGGTACCGGTCTGCCAGATGGCAGACAGGACTGCATGCAAGCCCCTTGCCATAGGTTCTCCACCAGCCTTTAACAATTCAGCTGGGATGCCACAGACACCTGCTGCTTTACCACTCTTCAGCTTGGAGATCGCCCCCTTGACTTCAGTCAGGGTGGGTGGATCCTCGCTGATGGGTGGGTCTGGCAGAGGAGTCTCAACATTACCAGCATCCAAGTTAACTGTTGGTGGATCAACCTGATACAGCTGCTCAAAATACTCAGCCCAACGCACACGCACCCCATCAGGATCTGAGATTACCTGGCCACTTGCTGAGCGGACTGCCGTCGTCTGTGAAGAGGGCTTGGAGTTCAGCTTTCTCAGAGCTTGGTAGGCAGGACGAAGGTCATTTACTAGGAAATGGCTTTCGACCTCCTCTGCAAGATTACTGATAAACTGTTCCTTATCCCTTCTCAACAGTGACCAAGTCCTGCGCGCCAGAGAACGGTGCAAATTGCGATCCCCTGACAATCGAGCCGCACGACAAGCTTCTGTGGCTTCCAGTGTCTCCTGCGAGATGGAATTCTGTCTTGCTCTTGGGCGTACACCAATGGATTCCTGAGCTGCATCAAGCGTTTCACGCTTGAAGGAATCCCACATAACAACAGTTAGTAGACGTAATATTAAACCAAGCAGAAAAGGAAGACCTTGGAAAATCATAAACAGGAACCTAAACCCATATGATCATATAAATAACAAGGTTATAAAATGCTAGGGCTGATTGCCAACATGAAGAGGGCTTTCGTGTGTGTGAGGAATACATAGTAAAGAAGGTCAGTACAGCCATCATAAGACCTAGTGTTGAGTATGGTGCAGTGGTATGGAGTCCACACTTAATAACGGATGTAGATAAACTAGAAAGAGTTCAAAGAGCAGTCACAAGATGGACACCTACTCTAAGAGATATGAGCTACGAAGAAATACTACAGATAATGTCTTACTACTTTGGAAGAAAGAAGAAAAAGAGGTGACATGATAATGATGTTTCTCTCTCTCTCTCTCTCTCTCATTTTGATGTAACGAGTCTAATAGTCAGTTTGTTAGCATTGCGAGAGGCCATACCCAATAAGCACTCATACATATGGGTATACCTATACTCATAAGTACATGCATTGATATTCGATAGCGAGTCGGCATGAGTCGACATAGGCCGGCCTTCCCTCATGGGCATAACCTGGGCGAGGCTCAGCTTCGCATATCGGACTTATCCTTACCTCTCTCTCTTTCTCTCTCTCTCTCTCTTTCTTTCTCTCTCTCTCTCTCTCTCTCTCTCTCTCTCATTAATATTCGATAGTGAGTCGGCATGAGTCGACAAAGGCCGGCCTTCTCTCATGGGCATAGCCTGGGCGAGGCTCAGCTTCGCATATCTGACTTATCCTTCTCTCTCTCTCTCTCTCTCTAATTTTGATGTAACGAGTCTAACAGTCAGTTTGTTAGCATTGCGAGAGGCCATACCCAATAAGCACTCATATATATGGGTATACCTATACACATAAGTACATGCATTGATATTCGAATGCGAGTCGGCATGAGTCGACATAGGCCGGCCTTCCCTCATGGGCATAACCTGGGCTTCGCATATCGGACTTATCCTTATCTCTCTCTCTCTCTCACACTCCCTCTTTTTGCCACTCTCTCTCTCTCTCTCACTCCCTCTCTTTGCCTCTCTCTCTCTCTCTCTCTCTCTCTCTCTCTCTCTCTCTCTCTCTCTCTCTCTCTCTCTCTCTCTCTCTCTCTCTCTCTCTCACTCTCTCATTAATATTCGATAGTGAGTCAGCATGAGTCGACAAAGGCCGGCCTTCTCTCATGGGCATAGCCTGGGCGAGGCTCAGCTTCGCATATCGGATTTATCCTTCTCTCTCCTCTCTACTCTCTCTCTCTCTCTCTCTCTAATTTTGATGTAACGAGTCTAACAGTCAGTTTGTTAGCATTACGAGAGGCCATACCCAATAAGCACTCATACATATGCGTATATCGATACACAGAAATAATCCATTAATATTCGATAGTTAGATAATAAATACATATCTGCCATATAGGTAGATAGATGTGCGTACTTATAGATGTATAAACATTCATATTTATGAATATTCACTGGGGCGGGCCTCCTGCAATTCTAACACCGCAGTGATAAGAGAAAAGGAAAATGATATCAATATGTGACTGTGGATAGGGCAAGGGAAGGTAAACATTTTCTTCGATTCTGTGTATGGTTAAAACATTTTATTATGTGTAAATGGATTGAAGTAATTAACACTAAATAGATACTAATTGATATCCATATATCAAATGAAAATGTAGAGAGAGCTGTGCAAAGGATAATGTTGTTAAATAGTTAGGTAAAAAAGCAAACTTAAAGTAGAGTCGAAAGCCAAAAAATCGAACAAGTTAGTCAGCTGATCAACCAAAACAGATTCTTTCTCATCCAACACAGTTGAATGATAACAGTTTAGTGATATTTTTAATATAAAATGTTGTCTATAGAATGCAGTATCCGCTGTGACTTATGAAAAATTATTATTATTATGATGTCAATCAGTCGTATACAGACTTTCACGTAACTCAAAATAAAATTCATTTTTGAAAATAACATAGATGTGAGCAAAATGTGTTGTCAGTGTCATTTAGGATCGGCGTTTTAAGAAAAATTTTCCTGAAGTTTACTTGTTGAATTTGTTATCTTTGAATGGTGGTGACTCTTGTCAGACAGCGAAAGAGTTTCATCGTATCATGTCAGCCGAATGTCTACCGTTTGAGGTCAGCTTTGGTGATTGTAGAGCACCCTTTCTATATGTTTTATCAGTTTTTAAATAGGATATTATCGTCAAGTCATGGAATATTTCTTTGGTCTCTGGGTTACATTGACCTGGGAGGAGGCTTTTAACCTTTGTGTTGGTCATTTTAGTGTGTCATGGTTATCTGAGACACATTTCTAGTGACTTATGTTTCATAAGATGAACAATATTTTTTTTTTTTCCATTTGTGAACTGGTACTATAATTTCATGCTATTCTAGAGGCGAAAACCAGTATTACTTAAGATATATTATCCCAATATGACCTTTTGAGTTATGACAATGGTGTCATCATTGTTTTGTAGCATATACATGAACGTTTCTAGTTGAATCCCTTGTCCAGTTTGAAGGTTGAGCTAGACTGAAGGTTCTTTAGCATTTGAGCATTATCTGTAGACTATGTAGAACTGCTGAGAGCAGGTGACTGTAAGATGTGCAGACAGTGAAAAGGAAGATTGATGATGTGCTACCATTTCAAAACACAGTTGGCTAGAGGAATGTAGTTGCCTTCCATTATAAGCAGTATTAACTCAATGGCGCCGGGTGTACAAAAGGAAAAAAAAACTCTACGCTCTAGCAAACAAAGGCGGCGCGCCGACTTTGAGCACGCGAGTACGGGACATCAACCCAAATCACAGGCTCGCCGCGCTTTGGCGCGCCGCCGGCTCATTGGCTGCACGCCAGCTTTCGAGCGCTTTGTTTACACGCCGATCGGCGTGACCTGGCACCAAGGGGTTAATCTTGATCTTTAGATTGAGCTAGTTTCTATATATTTTGTTTTGCTTACTTGCATGAGTCCTTTCTACATAGTAAATTATAACGATTTAAGCTCTATGACAGCCAAGGCTTCTGTTTTTATTTTCATATTTGTATTTTTGGTTGTTTGACAAGATTCATTACTCCTAAACAAATTACCAGAAGAAAATAGAGATTATTATTTTGAATCTGTTTGCTGAATATTTTTCATAATTTGCAGGTCCTAGTTGGGCTGTTCCATTATCTGGGAGTGAGTGATCTTCTGTCAGTGTCACAAGTGTCAAGACTATGGAGGGAAGCGGCATCTTACCTCATTGCAGACCGCGTGACAATCATGATCACGGATGATGTGAATCCTGCTGTGGACACCTTCCTTGCATCTTCCATACCTTATCATAATTGGGTATTCAAGGTTGGTGGAAAGCTAGCTATTGTTATTACCTAATGCATACTCTCAATTTTCCACTCTTTTCTTCCTCTGTTTCTCTTTCCTTATTTTTCTTTGTGTGTGTGTGTGTGTGTGTGTGTGTGTGTGTGTGTGTGTGTGTGTGTGTGTGTGTGTGTGTGTGTGTGTGTGTGTGTGTGTGTTGTGTGTGTGTGTGTGTGTGTGTGTGTGTGTGTGTGTGTGTGTGTGTGTGTGTGTGTGTGTGTGTGTGTGATTATTATTACTACTACTATTATTATTACTTTAAATACTCCAACTTCTACTGCTGTTACTATTAGTAGTAGTATTAACACTAGTACTACTAGTAGTAGTAGTACTATTAGTAATAGTGCTACTGCTACTACTACATTTTATAGTACTATTATTACTAGTACCTATTGTACTATTACTACTAGTACTACGAATTGTACACCTACCAGTACTATTACTACAAATACTACTAGTACTACTAGTATTAGTACCAGTTGTATCAGTAGTACTACTTCTTCTTCTTCTTCTTCTCCTTTATCTTCTTCTTATATTTTATCTTATCTAATGTTATTCTTATTATCATTGTTAATATTATTTTTTATTAATATTATTTTTTATTGCTATTGTTATTAAAGTTATGATGATTATTTTTACGTCAGTTATTTTTGTTTTTATTATTATTGTTATTATTATTATTATTATTATCATTATTATTATCATTATTATTATCATTATTATTATTATTATTATTATTATTATTATTATTATTATTATTATTATTACTGTAATCATTACTGTTATTATTACCAGCATCTGCACTACTATTATTATGTTTCACCATCTTTGCCATCACAGTCATTATTTAGTCTAGCAGGTTTTGATAACACCACAGGAAGTCCAGCTGTCAGACCATGGGGTATGGGGGGAGTGGTGGCAAAAAATAGGGAGTGCAGTGCGATCTGTAGGCCTGCACAGCACCAGCATTAGTGAGCGCCACTTTGTGGATCTGCTGGCAGCTTGCACCAGCCTGCGGGTTTTGAACCTGAATGGATCCAGAAGCCTTTTCAGGGAGGGTTAGTTGTCCTCCCACCCTTGTAATGTTTGTAATGATAGGATAGCATGATTATGGCTTCCAAGTT